CATGTTAGCTGTCGTAACATCGCCCAGGAGCTAAATATCGACCGTAAAACAGTTTTAAACCATGGTGGGAGTAACTCATAATACATTGAAACTCAACTGTCATCTGATCTGTACTAATGGCGGTGCCATAGATGTCCGCTCTATCGCTGATGGGTACCATAAGATTTTTACTCCTTCGATACTATATTGTATTCATTTTTTAAAGAGATAACGCTTTTCGACTTATTCGAAGCTCCCTAAGAATATGTTATATACACTCCAGAGCATACTATTGATCAATAGTGCTCTCACAATAGCAGTAACTGCTCACGCACATAAAATAACTTACGATTATAATCAACGATTATTAGTTGAGAAGATTTAAAACATCTATAAAAGTTTGTTTATATCCCTTGTAGCGGGTATAAATGTATTTAACTGTGATATGAAGAATTCCAAGAAAACATGAAATGATCAGAAATAACAAACCAAACGAACGGGAATTTTCAAATACACTTCGAATTATTCTGCATCAGGTAGACATACACCAATGTAAGTATTATGAGAAAACATTATGGAGTTCAGCTGTGCTTTGCCATTTCCCGCACCTTGCTGCAGCCGTCACCTAAAGAGCTAGAACCAATCGTCTTCATAAGAAAATTAACCTAACTATCTAAGAGAACATAAAAAAATATATGCTATGTATAGCGAATAACGAATTACAAAAATCGGTTCGTAAGTATACAGTCAAACCTGTTTTTGTGCGGTTTTTTATGCGCTTTTTTTTGTGCGATTCTTTTTGTGCGATTCTTTTTTTTGTGCGATTCTTTTTGTGCGATTCTTTTTTTGTGCGGTATATGAATATCGACACATTGAATATCGCCGAGAGGTTAGATCAATCTGAACTGTGTTGGCATCACTTTTTTTGCTATCAGTGTGTATGTACACATTGCAACAGCCATTTTCATACCTATTGCATCAGCCTATTTCATTAGGCATGCTCAATGTTCTTATGCATACATTGCATCAGCCAATTTCAATACATACTGCGCCATCTAATAACTTTAGTTAATTGCTGACCTTTTAACCATTAAGACAGGATTAATTTTATAGTGAGATTAAAGGTAAATTAATTGTTTTCCCTATTTAGATATAGTTTTTTATGATTTTTATTTTATTTTTAGTCATAAGTACTCCCTTAAAATGAATAATCGTAACCAAAAAAAAGTGAAAAGAAAGACAATTACATTAGAAACTAAAATTGCAATATTAAATGATCTTATTGAAATGATTGAAGACGAAACCGTAAATGATAAGGACATTATCAATAACTTAACAGATCATGAAGACGGACAAGAAGAACCGGAATCTATTACAGCGGATAAAATATATGCAGTGATGTTAACAAAAAATAAATCAACTGTAGTATCTTCAAGTGACGAAAGCGATTACGAATCAGTTCATCGCAAAAATATGCGCGTTTTGAACTACGACGAGTAGTATTGAATTATGTACATTTTGAAAATTTCTCCTTGTTTAAAATTAGAAATTAAAATTTTTTTAAATGTTTCAATGTGTAATTTAATTATTTATTTTGTTTGGAAAGCACTTTCTTGCTATTTCGTGAAGCTTTGACATATTTTCTAAGTGAGACTTTTTTTATGCGGTCCCTCTCTACCGCATAAAAAAAATTTTCTTTAATATGCTGTGAAAATTATTTCATATAGCTATTTATGAAGTTTTTGAATATTTTTTTTTGTGCGGTCCCTATCGACCGCACAAAAACAGGTTTGCCTGTACTCTATAAATTAAGTATAAAGCACTAAGGAAATTATATGCTCTTTGTAAGCAATATTTGGATACCCGTTGCTAGTGATGCAAAAAAAAAGCAAAAAGCAAGCTAAAGGCAATTATGTATACATGGATTTGAAACAATGCTGCTATGCAACGAAAGTTATAATCCATTGCCTGTTATGAGCGAATCGAGTTAAGTCTTAACCTTATCTAACATATTTTTCCATGTCACAAACGGAAGGACAAAACCAGTCTATTACCGTTATTTGACATCTGGTTACAAGCATTCGACGTCTGCAAGCTTACATAGTTCATTTGTACCTGTTATTATAGTTACATGTAGTCATTATAATTTTTATGATCGCATTCCTTGCTTCTAATCTTTAGTCACTTAACAATGCATTCATAATCATTCCGATCGCATGAAATAGTATTTAAAAAAACCAGTCTATCAGTCTATCTGTTTTATTGCTATACATTATATTAACGATGACAAAGTCACATTAGAATTGTGTAAGAATTTCTCATAGTATGCAAATGCTTTGCGCTTTGATACGTTATTCAGACAACTAATCAAACTTTATTGCGCTGAATAAACTGAAACACAAATTTCTCCTTAAAAATGTTAATGTATCGACAAAAATTTCTCTTAGAATACACAAATGTTTTATGCTTGCCTTTGACTTAGTTTATGAATCACATATGCATCCAATATTTACGGCAATAAACGAGTATACAATAAATGTTTTATATTACTTAACACGTACTGATTAAAAAATTGTTTATATCTATGTATGTTAGCAAAATAATTTATCACAAACAAAACAATGACGTTACAAGAAACGAAAAAGAAAATGAATAAAAAAAACATTCAATATAAACAAAACCTTATGAATATAATTCGTAATCAATTCTTTTCGCGGATTTAATAAAAAAAAAAAATAAAAAAAATAAAAAAAAGAATGAAAAGTACACTGCAAATCCTCATACTTTTTCGCATATCATGCTCATAGAGGAATTTCTTGTAAAACTTTAGCAAACACTTTTGCATCTTTTCTTATACGAACTAAAGTTTAGTAAGTTCGCAACCCTTCACTTATGACTTATTATTCAGGTATTAAGGTCTTATTCAAGTACAAGCAACTATTCCGATTAGGTTCTGCAGACTTTTAGATTCGCATCAATACGGCTTCTTCTGGCGGCAAAATATTGTTTTCCATGTAATTTATTTTTGACGTTAGGATACGAAAAGAAGGTTTTGAGTAGCAAATTGGGATCGTACCGCTGATTCGATTTTTTGCGTGTTTACATAGTGAGTTGCTAGGAGAGATGTGAACAAACTCGCATTGCTATAATGAAGATTAATGATCCGACAGAGTTTTTGTTTCTTTTCAATATTTCACCGAAAACTTCCGGCAAACACCATTGTGCACCGTTTAGATTTAATCGTTTTACGTCAAAATATCTCAAAAGTTGCAAACGGCAGCTTGAACGCAATTTTACATGGACAGACCACAGATGGTCAGACGGACAGATAAGCTTATATCGAATCTGAATCGACGGGTATAGTAAAAGGTGAGCCTATCTGAAGCCTTTCTGCCTGATACATACATAGACACAAGCCTAATACACCCTGCACCATAAGTGATGTGGAATATAAAAGACGTGCAATTAAAATAATGCGTCGACCATTGATCAGTAGAAAAGACATTGTTTTCCATTACAACAATGCCAAGTCACATACAATTTTCATTGCTTGTCTAAAATTAAGATAGCTTGGCTACGAACTTTCTTGCACCATTTACCATTTGTTTCGTTCTCTGCGGAACTTTCGTTATGATGTAAAGTTGAATTCAAAAGAGGAGTGGAGTCTGCAAAGCTGACTTGTTTCACATTTTCAAAACTTTGCGAATTCTTTTCTTAGTCTATCAATATTTGGGTACAGTTACTTTCTGCTTATGACGGGTTTAATAAAAACTATTATACGCCAAAAGTAAATCCTCTAGCAATAGAGAATCATTAAGAAATGACTTACATAACGGTTTACCCAGCTATAATTGGGTAAAATAACTTAATTTAGTAAATGCTTGCATTGCTGACATATTTCACTCAACGCAACAGTTTAAATGAATAGAATTTTCTGACTTGTATTTCTTTTCCTTCATAAATTTTTTCGCTTTGACTATTTTATATTCTCGATATTTAGAATCAAAATTTTTGTGTGGTAACTGAATTATATCATTGCTAAAAAAAAGTCATGGATGATCATATGCATCACATAAGGTAAAATGGAAACAAATATTAAACGGTGCGCTATTTAATCGAAATGACTTTCATTTCAGTATTTTCGCTGCGAGGCCTTTAAACACTTCAATGATAAGATCTCTAGCCGCTTCAGTATGTAACACTAATGCCACAATTGCTTCGATTCCGGCTCAGAGTGTTACAATAACGAAGGCCCCAATTGTTAACGCGCCAAAGTCGGCGACTGCTACCGTTGCTAAAACTGTTATGATCGCGCCTGCACCAAAACCTGCTGCAACAATGTCAACAGTAAAGTCTCAAAAAACCTGTCCACCGGGAAAAGCTCAATCTCGACCTCAACCTCAACCCCAACCTCAACCTCAAGCACTGCCTGAGAATAGCAAACCCAAATCATCCACATTTGCCAAGCAAGCGGTATGTACAAAACCTAAGGCTCCGCTACCTCCTCCGCCACCTCCTCTCCCGCCGCCCAATGAAATCAAAGCTGACCCATCGCCAGTAACCTGTAAACCCAAATGCAAACCAACTGCATGTGCGACTGCGAGCTCTGTAAGAAGAAAAGGATTCTTTCGATTAGGATTTATTCCCCGAAGTATTTTAAAATTATCATTATTTTATATAACTGCATCAATGGTAGTTGATCTAACATCACAAAAATGAAGGCAATCAAAATTTATTGTGTGTATTAATACTTTCTTCTCTTTGGTATAAAAACGAAATGAAATTGAAATACAAAAAATTTATTCATTTTGCATAAATTGCCAATTTTTATTGATTTATATGTAATTTTACTATAAATTTAATGATTTAACAACAAAGGTGCATGTTAGGAAATAATAATTGATAAGTGATTCCATGCGATTGATTTAATCAATCAACGACGTCATTATCATCTTATTGTCCATAAGACACATTGCGGCGGTAAATGATGATCAACGATAATGATATGATATCAGTCGCATTCACATAATAAGGCTTTTCTTTTGTACATTACTCTTGGAACCAATAAATAACACAGAGCAGGATTTCTCAGGATATTCGACCTTTTTGTTAACATTCAATGACTGAGTTTTCCTACATATCAAAGATAAGACATGAAAAAAGAGTAAAAGAATAATGATCGAGAAAATCACCTTAAATCATCGAATAATTTTCTGCAATTTTCCGGTATACACGTTAATTTCGGTTTGGGGGTCAATTCAAACAATTCACTGCAAGAATTGTGAATATTAACCTCATCGCGCTGGTGACCTAGCGATGAACGAGAAGACTTGCGTTTCGGCATTGCACCATTCGACATTTTCGCATTCACTCTTTCCTGACTCTTTTTTCGATCACGTACTTAATTTTTTGATCAAAATTCAGGAAATGTTGCAAAAATATATATATGTATTTGTATAAATATATATATATATATATAAATATATATATATATATAAATAAAACGAAAATTTTTCTTTGGAACAAAAAAAAAAAAAAAATTTCAAACAAACGTATAAATGATTTTTATGAAAAAAAATGTTGAAAACTGATGTAACGAAAACGGATGTGAAAAATGAAATTTTTATTTAATTATTGACAACTTATTCTCAACAAGATTAGTTTACAAAGCACACGACGTACGAACCAAAAAGTAAAAAAATAAAAACAAGTAAGAAAACTATATTTTCCATCAGGAGCGTATCTTATGTATTTATCATCAATATCCATCACATTTTTGGTTGAACTCTCAATTCACCCCCAATCCAAATCCCAAATATTAAATTTTTTCAAAATTTTATATGAAATATTGGGTGTTATATATATATATTATATTTGCTGTACCCACCACTGAAGGGTGGAAGTAAATCCACTTTGTGGCACCGTTTTCAAGACCCAGGAACAAATTTCAGAGGCCCTCTATATATATATATATATATATGTGCTTGCTCAGGATCAATTTTCTGAATTAATGTCTGCGGTAAACATTCTCTTGGTCGCAAAAACTAATCTATCGGCAATAAATTTGGAATTGCGTGCACGTACTTGGTTGGTATTGCAATGATCAAAATCGCCGAACAATATAAACGTATATTTTATTACTAATCTTCTGGGACGTCAACGAAAACTAACAAATCTGCAACACCCGCCCGCCGTCTGCAATAATTTAAAATAAACTTTGGACATGTTATAAAGCGTATGCAATTGTGATTGGTCAGTACCCAATGCTGAATTCATTTAGATCTGTCTGTGCAGCCTTTTATCTTTCCGTCTGTCCATTTATATATACAGTGTAAACATCCTCCTGGACGCAACAATGAAGATATCGGCTTAAAATTCCACAAAAACATTCGCAGTTCTCGCATCCGCTTTGATATTGAAAATGGACTAAGTCGGTCAAAGGACATGCCCACAATAGATCATAAAGTAACAATATCTCTATTTTCAAAAGCCGCTCATTACTCATAAACTTCAACAATAAACACTGACTGGCATATGCCATTTCAATATAAAGATGGTGGGTGTAAAAGATTCAGCGAGAGGCTTTGCGTTTTTTTCAATTCCCGGGAAGACCTAACTGATGGGAATAGACAATTCGACCGCATTCAATTTTCTTATTTGTCAATAATGATCATCCCAAAAAAAAAGATTTTTCGGGGATTTTGTTAAGTAAGTCTTTATCTCGGCAACCCTGAACGGGAACGGATGTGTTTTGTTGAAAGCACGCATAAATTTCTTTCACAAAACATCATCAATTTCTATATAAACAACAATAACTCGGCGGTTTTGATTAACTGATGCTATATTTGGATTGCTTGTTGGACTGTATTCCTATCGTTTTCGGTGCTGCATTACGTTGCCACTTATTGGAGTGATTTCAATGCGGAGCGTTGCGATTTTGTGTCGTCTGTGTTCTTAGTAATGGCTGAGAATGTGAACATATGCAATAAATGTCAACGTTCTATTCGTTGTGAAGGTCTGGTCCACTGGCAAGGTCTATGTGTATCAAGTTGTATCACCTGTGGGCTATTATTACTATTTCAAAAATTCTGATATTAACGAAAAGCTCAAATATCAATAAATTTTCTATAGATCAAATAAAATCAAATAAAATATAGTCATAAATAGTTTCAGAACTGATTGTCAGTTTATGAAAAATAGCAATAACGGGACTTAACTGTTACGCTACTCAATGAATGTCCCCTTTATAATATTTATTTATAAAAAATTTTCACGTCTAGAATATGTAACAAAATTTTTATTCGCAACCTTACTAAATGACTGCTGCTGGAATAACAGTGAACAGTGAATTTTGCACCAAATATTACATTTATTAATATTTGCACTATTTTTACTATTAAGCCTCCATAATAAGAAATCCTATTTCAGTCTACGGACGAAATGGATTTATAAATCCCCTATAGATCCCCATTGATCTTTATGAGCTTGAACGTTACCATTGACAATTAAATCTTGTCTCTGTTTAATTGCAAAATTATCAATTAAATAAGAAGAAAACTCAAAAATAATACAAATAAAACAAGTGAAAAAGATGTATATTATAACGAACAAAAATATTTCAAAATATTTTCAATCGGCGCACCCTGTGCTGCATTGAACTCATTTAACAATTCAGTTTGATTTGAAGAAAAAATGCAATTAATTACATCAAATTCTTACCTGTAGCTTAGAATGGACTTTAATTAATTACTAGTGAAGTTGAAAATAACGGCAATGGTTATGCCGCTTTCCTGTTCATTCCACATCTTGTGCTCGCCCTCTTTGAAATGAGAAAATTGAAAATTGTTCGCTCTCTATACAATTTCAGTATGGATGATATAGGGATAGGAAAATGTACCGGTAACACCGGATGATAAGTTTAACATTTTATCATCCAAATCTATATATAAAACGGAAGAAACAATAACATTAGGCGAAGAAGGTGAAGATAAAGATAAAACTACACGAGATAAACTTTTATCTGATTGGTTGCATATTAAGAGACTACGTTTACAAAACTATATAAGCAATTGTATATCATCTTCTGACTGGTGTGATTGATCATCTTGCTGAGGACAAGATGGATATCAAGGTCAATCACCCCACCGGCAAAATCACTAAGTCAAATCGTTTCAAAATTATGGTAAATAAAACCGATAACTATTGTCGCAGAGAAAAACCAATAAAGGACTATTCATTCGATTGAAGGCGGTAGTAAAAACCGTTGCTCCAAAAAGACCCTTAAAGGCTATAAAACGGATAAAATCGATAATACCGTTGCGAAAACTGTTGCGTTTCTCATAAAACCAGTATTGCTTAACACCGCTTTATGGTATGCTGTGCATCCTCGGTACTGTTCTTATGGGCCTAAGTAAGTATATCTTTGGTCTACCTATAGGTCTAACTTTGTTAATTTACAAGGGCTGTTAACATTTTTTTTTTTTTTCGAGGTAACTGCGACGGTAATAACCACTCCTAGAGTATCAGAACTCAGTTGAGGTTGCCTTCATGTTTCATGTCCTCTTGGGCACTGTCAGCCTGTTTTTTTTTTTTTCTTTTTTCTTTTTGAAATATAGTTATCTCATTGTTACAATTTTTCGTCGTAATTCTCTTCTTCTCGACATTATTCAATGGCGTTTGTCTGATTGTTTAGCAAGATGCCGCCAATCAAGCAAAAACGATTCTTTCGTCGATTATCCAAATGAGAATGGGCGCAAATTTTATTGCTTTACGTATGGGGGCCTTTGTGATTGTACCAATTGCTTTATTAAGTCCATAGTTTGAAGAGAATTTGATAATAATAGCACATCAACAAGTTAATTGAATGTGGAAAAATATTGATGTGACGGAATCAATTTTGGAACTTGCTTCTACCGAAGCATTTAAGTCTCCGCAAATTTCAAAGCCAAAGTCTACCTTTTTGTATTTTATGATAAAAATTAACTTGCAAAGTAGTAGTTGGACTTATGAAATAACTACGCTAAGTTATGATCAAATAGCTGAACACATTTTGGGACTTTGTCCAGTTTTGGGTTTTTCGAGAAAGACCAGTCTTTATATGGCAATAAAATATAATTTTTTTGCACTTAATGAGAAAATTGGGTGATTGGGAAATAAGATCTTTGACAAGAAAATTCTAGTGCGGATTCTAAATATTTTGAGCACATTCTTATAGAAAGGACTGGATACAAATTTTTGATATTCTATTACGAAAAGCAAAATTGCATTAGGCGATGTGACGTCGGCTAGTAACAGTCGGCTTTGCCCCATTTTAATGTTTCATATTCAGAGCTAATGGAACGGCGGTGTAATACTTTTATTTTTCGTTCACGCTAATCAGTAATAGGTGTCAAAATCTTCATAAACTTTATATGTTCTCAATAAACGTATAATAGATTCTCGTGTTCACTCTGTTATCCACGCAAAAATTTAGCTACAAATATTTTTACACGCAACATGCATGCAGATAAAATTAGTGAATAAATCATGATTCTTCTTCCATGATAAAATGCAAGTACGTAAAAATAATTCGATCGTAAACATACTACAACTTAATCGAGCTCTAGAACAAAACTATTACAAAAAAAAATTATTATTAATTTTTCAATGAATACATACATGTATTGTGACGAATCGCTATACTACTCTTACAACGCCCAAGGAAAAAAGATTGGTGATGGCCACCTACACGTAGGTGGACAATGGCCAAATAAGTTCATAAAATTCGGAAAGTAGTTAAATCTTCAAAATTTGATCTTTGCCTGAAGTTGGTTCGAATATTTATTAGAATTGTTTAAAAATTCGAGAATAAAGGATCGTCGATCGTTATACGTAAAATTAACAAAACAGTAATAAGTATCTGTAGCATGTCTTCAGTTTAAAATACCTTTCATGTCGATTGTCTCTTTTTTTATTCTCACCACTGTAAGAGGAGGATAAAGTCATTTCGTTTTATTTATTTATTGTATTTATTTATTTATTCCACTTATACAAGAAACTCAACTAAAACAAAATGGCAGTCGAGTTCAATTGACTCTTAAGTAAATCTTAAAATTATTTAATAATAAAACTTAGTATAAGTACAATAAAACAAACAAGGAGGAAAAAAAAAAAAAGCATGTACACAATTAGCATAGAGCCACGCCCACAACCGATACAGGACCAAATTGCAAGTGAACCCCTAAGCCATCGCAAACATGCATAAGCTTGGCAACCGATAATTGTTAACAACAAATTAATTTTCGACTCATAATGACAAAATCTAAGGTTAAATCAGTTTAAGTACGACATAGGTAAATCACGCTTGTTGAGCAATATTGC